GCTCAAGAACAAGGCATTTTCCCATCGCACCGCCAACAAATGGGAGATTACCTACCCTGTCACATTCAATATATTGTCTGGGTATTGAACCCAGCTCGAATTTGGTGTGGAAACGCAAACGAGTTGGAGCGCATGACGATCGTCGTCACATCTCTTCCTACGTCCTGGCAACCATGAAGCTCCTGACGAAGGCCAAGGAAGAAATCCGGGCTGCGAAAGAGTCGACGCCTCTCCTTCGACAAAGCCTCCATGGCAACTCGCCGCCCACACTAGCGCACTCCTTGTACGTCGTCGCCACCGACAGCTACATCAACGTGCTCTTGGTGTGCCTGCCGTTTGCAATCTACTCGTACTACGCACAATGGGGCGACACGGCAGTGTTTGCATTCAACTTTCTCACGATGATTCCACTCGCCAAAGTTATCGGGGACGCCACGGAAGAAGTCGCGTTCCACACGGGCGACACGATCGGCGGCCTCGTCAACGCCACGTTTGGCAACGCAGTGGAAGTGATCATTGCGATCTTTGCCCTGCGGGAAGGGCAGATCTCGGTCGTCCAGGCCTCTTTGCTTGGCTCGATTCTGTCCAACCTGCTGCTCGTCCTCGGGTGCTGTTTTGTGGCCGGGGGCGTGACCCAGTCCGTGTCCAAATTTAACGAGACGAGCGCGTCGGCCAACTCGTCGTTGCTCATGGTGTCTGCCTTTGCGATGCTCGTGCCGTCGTACTACCAGTACACGACCTACGACGACAAGCCCGAGACCAAAGCGATCGTGCTCGGCTTGTCGCACATCGCGGCGGTCTTTTTGCTGCTCATGTACATGCAATTGCTCTACTTTCAAATGAAAACGCACGCACACTTGTTCAATTCGCGCGACGCCACCGACGAAGAAGAAGGCGGGTGCGATGACGACGACGATGACGACGCGACCGACCACTCCAACATGACGCTGGGCAGCAGCATCGTCATCCTCGGCCTTGCGACCGTGCTCGTGTCCATCCTGTCCGAGTACCTCGTCGCATCGATCGACGGGTTCGTCGCGTCGGCGCACGTGAGTAAGTCGTTTGTCGGGATCATCATCTTGCCGATCGTGGGCAATGCCGTCGAGCATATGACTGCAGTCCGCGTCGCGCTCAAGCACAAGATGGAGCTCGCCATGGGGGTTGCCGTCGGATCCGCGACGCAAATTTCGCTTTTCGTAGTCCCGGTGACCGTCCTTGCCGGGTGGGCCATGGACCAGCCCATGTCGTTGGCGTTCCCGACCTTTGAAGCCGTGACGTACGTGACGTCGGTCGTCATCGTGTACGCCATCATCGTCGACGGCAAGTCGCATTGGCTGGAAGGGTCGATGCTCCTCACCATCTACCTCTTCATTGCGGTCGCGCTGCTGTGGGTGCATGTGTGATGACAGAGCAAGCATCGGGTTGCGACCACGGTTGCCCAGTGTGTTTAGCAAGTACATAAACCAAGTTGAATGTCATTGGTGTGCGCACTACATGGTTCAAAGCCGCGCCGTGCTGCCTTTGCAGACGGCACAACCAGGTGACAATCTGCGCTTGTCCTCGTGCAGAGTTCGAGCGCACATAAACCACCAGCGCCTGGGGGTCCACCCCGTGATCCAGTTGGATGCACTCTCGACCGTTCACCGGGATAGAACCAGTGTTGGTGCCTTCAGTATCTCAACCATGTAGTTCCGAACAATTGTGAAGACGGCATGGCCAGATTGTAGCTACATTTTGCGGTTGGCCATCGTCTCGATTCGTGAACACTCGCTAGTAAGATGTCGGCACGGGTCGAACCGATTGCGTTTTGTTGGGTTGGCTCGATATTGCGGCAAGCGAACCACCCGGCCCGACGGACCTCCTCGAACCGACCAGACACAAAGCGTTGGCGGTGCTCATGCGCGCGACGATCAAGACGTGTTCACAATGCGGCCCCGTTTCAAGGAATAGCTGGTGATGCCACGGGGGGCCCCAAACGACAAGAAAACCTGTGCACTTTGTCCTGACGAAAAGGGCGTGCATGAGGCGCGTGTCAAAATCTCGTGAACGATACTTGCGCGATATATACACATGCCGACCCAACGTCGTGCTAGGCGTATAGGGTGCTTGAAGCAAACGCTCTACGGGTGTCCCGATGCGTGCTCAACAAACACTAGTACCCCCCACTCCTCGACATAAACACTCCTCCCTCTGACTCGTCGCATCATACGCTCAAAGATGCCCAAGGTCTCCTGTCAGGGGCCTGAACACACGAGATGTTGGCGCTCGACCTCCAATCGTCCTCGATCACCGTGACAGCAATTCCTTCCGATGGAGAGAACTGTCCGCGCTGGAGCATGGATGGTTCGACTTCTTGGCGCCACCGACGGATTGCTGTCGAGCATGGAGAGCTGCTCGTGTGGACATTCTCCATGTGCCATAACTCGACCATCGCAACAATTCCTTATTTTCGGCTCGAACGTACAACCTGTTAACAAGTGAGAGCAGACAAAACAATTTTTTCCGACTTGTTTTTTCAGAACATCGTGTCATCTCATTGGTCAGCATCGATGTACGAACCGCAATGTGGACCAATAACATGGCGAGAAGTCGACGCTCTCGTCGTCGTTCGTTGTGACGTGGTTGGTTTTGTCGGGTGAGGCTCGCCGTGCTCGACAACTCCACATCACCTCGTTGCGAGGCGTGACTCTCGCAATTACCACAAACGACTGCCATCGCCATGGGGATCAAGATCCAAAACACGATGGACCACACCACGATCGTGCTGTCGTACGTGCGGCTCCGACACCGAGCCGCTTCTACGGCAAAGTCCTCGTTCTCGAATCCGGCACTCGAATGGACAGTCCGACGTGGCAATGCCCTGGCATCATCTACGCGTTCGAGACTCCGCAAGACGTGTCTGCAGACGACGAGGCGCAGAAATTCCGCGTCGCCATGGTACGTTTCAACGACGTGCGCGCCGGGTTGTACGTTACAGGTGGTCCAATCATGGACTTCCTCGACCTCTTTGGTGGTCTCTTCGACGGATTGGCCGGCTTCATCGAGGAGGCTGTCCTGGAAGAGATCATGGAGAATGTCACGGACAAAGTCCAAGATACGATCCAAGACACAATCGACGAAACAATGTGCGCCGTGGGGTGGGACGTCGAAATCGCGAATGTTTTTAGCGGGCAAGAGACGCCGCGCAAGTCGGGCGAGGTAGCCCGCAACGTGTTTTTGCTGGGAATGGAGGGCATGGGCCTTCGCCGCCAGCATTCAATCAAGCGAATGTGCAGCGATAGCTACGCGCTCACCGTTCAAGGGGATCGAATTGCATGGTGGTCGTAGATAATGTACATGAACCGATCGCGTCTCTGTTTGAATTCCGCACAGCGCAAGTGCAGCGAAAAAGCCAAGAAAGATGCACCGGACAGTCATGCCTACGTCGTCCAAGCGATGGCAAGAATAAATCAACTTTGTAAACATTTTTATGGGCGAGTCTTGGAATGGGAAAGATGAATGCAATCACTGCCGCGTCGCTCCATGCACGTAGTACGAGAGATAGATTTGCAAACGGCAGGCACACCAAGAGCACATTGATGCAGCTGTCAGTGGTGGCGACGGTGTACAAATGTGTCGGTCAATCGCGTCTTTCGACGACTTGTCGTGCACCTCTTTCGTTCGACCTCGAGGAATCGTACAAGACCGACGACCACTCGATTACCAGCTCGTCCGACAACCTCTTCGTTGGAATTGGTCGGTCCGATGCACCGGAACATCGTGCCTACGTCGTCCTAGCGATGGCAAGGGCGTCGAGTCTTGGTACATGGTTCCCGAGGATCGACGATGCATGGTGTCCACCAGGTGGCATGCCAACCATTGAATGCAGTACCATGGACGTCGGTGACGCAACGGCCTTTGATGTGGCATGGG